ACTAATGAGGAACTCCAAAAGGTTATAGACTATTTTTCTAATGATAATTCTAATTCTTTTATTAAGACAGAAATTTCACCGACCTTGGGACGCCAAAATCATGTGACTAAAAATTCTGAGACTAGCGAAGAAAGCTTACCCATACCTGAAGAAAATTTATCCTTATCAGCCGATTTGGAGGATTATATAAAAACACTCACAGGAAGTCTTGACGATGAGACTGCTAATTGGACACACCATACGAGAACTCGGCTAGGATAGGGAAAGAGGAAGCGGATGAAGTTAAAGAGTCTCCCAGGGTCCAGTCAAACGAATATGTATATTTTGAAGAGGAAGTCGATCATGATTCCATATCACATCCAGTGAAAGAAAGGAATGATGATAGCGACAACGATTCTGAAGAAGAGATGCACCGGAGGGACGATTTGGATGATGAATATAATGAATATGATGGATATGATAAATATGGTGGACGCAATAGAGGCTATTATTATCGTGACGGAAGATACGAAAGGAAAGACTCACCAATAATGAGTCCTATTATCTCTCCGGTAACTGCTTACTGAGCCAGAGTGATGAAGTCAAGTGCTAAAGACAGGAGAATTATTGGATGAATTACAGCTTAGATTGAATTATCGTATCTTTTTTTTTGAATCACGTGGGTAGCTATGAATTCTTACATAACAACCTACTAATTTCTCACCTCCTTTAGGTTCTCAGAATCAGAAATTAGTATTTTGTAGGTTGCCAAGTCACCAGCATTTCATACGCCACTTTGACCGCCTTCACAAGATTCTTTTATAGTTATATCCAAAATAATGTGCAGTAATATTATGCTAATCGGGACATGTATTACAGGAACAAGCAACTGCGCATAATAATTTATTCTCAAACATTCTCGCACATTCTCAAAAATATGTATAACCCTTTGATGATCTTTACATATGAATAATAATGTTAAATTTTTTGATGAAACACCTTTGACCGATCACCCACTAGGTTAATTTGCAACTTAGGATTGCTCAGTGAAGATCTAGGAAGGAATAAAAATATAAAAATGGTGGATGTATAGGAAGGTTTAGGTAGGAAAAAAAATAAATCAAAAATATATTATTGCCGAAGTCGCCCAGACTCTTCGAACTATCAAACTACATAATTTATCATTTTTCTAAAACTATTCCG